AAAATAACATTGTATATTATATTAAGTTTATGAAGTACTACATTTTTATTTAATACAAAATGTGTAGTTATGATTATTTATATTAARAATAATTTATTAGTTAGCACCGTTAGGAGTCCAAACATTTAATTAGATGCTTAAAATATAATATATGGATAATTAATTTAATTTAGCGTTAAACCGATAAAATAGTAATAACCTGTTAATCTATGTGTATAACTTAATAGATGACTACATTGAGTAATCTATTTCTACTTTATAAAAACTAAATAATTAGAATCATTAATAAATTAAAGGYAAATATTATTGGCTTGTATGTAAAAATGTTACTTACTTGCTATTACTCAGAATTTCGAATATAACTAGTAGTTGTAACTAAAACCAATGATATAGATAATAAGATTATTTACATTAGTTTATCTAATGAAACATTATGGTAAAATTATTAATAGTGATGTATATAATAATTGTACCTATATATGTAGGTAACTACTAACTGTGTATTTTTAATTAAATTTTACTCAATATTTCGTGTTATGACCTGACATGTACCCTCTAGTTGTACACACTGAATAATTTGTTTCTAACCATGTTAACTTATTCAAAAAATACTAAATCAACATCATTGTATTAAAAAATAAAAATTTTACTAATTTTAAAGGATTTTACGTTTATATTCAAGGTTTGCCTTGTACCTACAAATAATTCGCATTGTCACACTATAATTCCATGGCATAGGCATTTGGTGTATTAGATCATAATATTCTAGTTGTATTTTATATGATATAATAATTTGCGACTATTTCATACGCCCAAACTTCGTTTATTTAGGCGAAGAAGATTGAAATGTACTTACTGTAGGCGGTTCAGAATGAGCACATCGAACGAGCACATATACAGTTGCACACACACGCATACACGATCACGGTACCACGTACTCGGTAGGTACTCCCCGCACGACTGAAACGAACGTCGGCGGTGGGTACTAAACAAGTCACTATTGATACAGGACGTTAGCCGATGGTACCCCACCAACAAAAATAATAATAATAAAAAAAAAAACACAGAATAATATAACAATCGGACAACATTCTAGACCGTCTCCTACGCGCCGTCGCTTTTTCTGTACGCGTAAACATTATACGCAGTGTGTACGCTGTATAATAGTTCGGATACTGTATGGGGGACCACTTATTAATACAAAAAATAATTTTGTTCCATGCCGCCGACGGTGGAGTCAGCGCAATTCATGATTGTACACCAYGGCCATTTGTCTGCAATCCGCGTGTAAAACAWCAACATTATAGATTTTTTTTGATTTTTTTCTTTCGTACGTCACGCTACGCTCACTTATAGGCAGGTACGCGTAGAACTTCAAATTCCATATTGTTAAAATGTTAATGTCATTATTATAATAATATAGGTACTTCATAATAYTATCACAGCTGCTGCGGGCACACTTGTTGATATTTCCCAAATTAATTTTCGTTACGATGTGCGCAGTGTTCGTTTTTTTATATTAGAAATTATGAAATAATTTCATAAAATTATAAATCATATTATTGACACTATAGTGAAAAAAATATTATATGAAATAATAAATTTTTGGAAATGATCCGTTCGTTGAGAACAGTTGTAAGTAATAATAGGTATGATATGGCGGACCTGTATCATTATAGTCACTTTTTCTGTACAGCGTATATGGTTATTATATATAGATAGTGCGCACGCGCTATAGTTCGGATACTGTATGGTGGACCACTTAACACCAAAAATAATTTTGTTCAATGCCACCGATGATGTATAATGTATACATCTATTATATGACTATAGTCAGCGCGATTCGTGATAGTAAACTACGGCCTAGATTCGTTTCGATGCGTTACGTGTCCGCACTCTGTATGTAAAAYAAACCATAGATTCATTGTTAAGCAGATAAAGGTTCATCGTATTACACATAACAGTATAACACATTTACACATATGTGTAGAACTTAAGATTCCATATTTTGAATTATTATAGTATAACATCATTACAGCTGCAGCAGGCATACTTTTTGATATTTTCCAAATTTATTTTCGTTATGATATGTGTAGTGTATTTATTTTGACATATTTATCATAATATAAATGATCAATCATATAATTTGACTTCTTAATCATCCTAAAAATATATAATATAATATTATTATAGTTGTGTGTGGTCCATTAATTTGATATGGATATCCTAGCACAAAAATTAAAAATACAGTCGAACAATATAATAGCTGTGATAGCTCAAAATAAAAATCATGAGTTAAGAAAAAAAGTATAATGAATGAGAAAAAAAAGTTGTATTTCTTATTATTACCAATGATTATTTACTATTAACTTTTTAGTAGATAGTTACTTGCTATCATCTTTAATATACTGTTATTTTTTCTAGGATACTATACATTCCGTTATTTAAACTGAAAATGAAAAACATTGATCCAACAATGCATTATTTAGACAAATTATTTATTACATTTCCATTWGATAGTTTGTTTAAAAACAAAAACATGACGCAGTTTTTGTAAAAAAAGAAGTAGAAGTTAAAGTTAACAAGAATTAGAATAGTGCAGACAAGACAGTATAATTGTATCATATTGTTTGAGTAATCTGAATTCAGAGCAAGGCTTGAGGCGTGTTTTTTTAGACCGCAGAATAGAATTTTTTGTAATCTGAGAGCGAGACCCAAAACGACATAAAAGTGCTGAAGGTCCAAGAAAAGGGTACTTAAGTTGCCCCCTGCATAAGGTTGGTTTTAAGAATGATAACATGTTAAATAAGTTGCATTATGCCTTACTATCTTGGATTATGTTGTTTTATAGTTACTTTAGAAGTTCCAAATGTTATTAGTACCTAGTATAAGGATGTATTAATTAATGAAAATTTATCAAAGACTACATCCATGTAAAAAATAATAAAATGTTTCATAGAACAATTATAACTTTGATTAATTTTTAGATTCATCAATATTATTTCTAACATTTAATGTTTGGATTTATGGTAAGTAGGAGAGGATCGATAAAAAATATGTAAGTATCACATTTGTCTAAAATGTTTTAGTAATAGTGGGCATTAATTTCCATTTTTAGTTGATGCCTATTTTAAGAATTTTGATTTCTATAAAGTATTTTAAGTAAGTAAATAGGTATTGTATCTTTTCATTTTATTTTTACACCTTGTAATGATCAACATTTTATTTATCTGAAATAATTTTATATTTGATAATGTGAATAATATCTTTTTAGGTTCTGGTCAGTTTGGATAGTTAATTTCTTACAATATTTTAAATTCGCTTAGCAACATATTTCATGAACTAAAATTATATAAATTTTTAAAATATGAAACCAATTAATATAGAYGAATCGTGTATTCGAGATTCGAATTATTCGCAGTTGCAAGGAAAGTGCTTAGAGCCAGGTACAGCTGCGCATGTGAGTTTTCTTTAAAAATCCATTTTTTTTTTAAATTGGTATAATATATGAAATACATTTAAAAATAAAAAAAACAATTATAAATTACAGCTTTCTTCATATAATTATGATCCAATGGTTCAGAAGAAAACATTTAACGATCCATTATTACCCAAAAACTTAGATAAAAGTACAATATTTGGAATTATAACAAAGAGTAACTACCTATATGAAATTATTTTTTTGTGAATTTTTATAATATATGCCATTGTTTTTATTAAAGCTAAATTAACAGCTGGTGATGTGATTTTTCCGAACAAGTCCCCTGGGAAAATTGGTATTGAAGACAAAAAAGAATTAGAATTCTATAAAAATTCACATCATTCGTATGGAATTGGTGAACAATTAAATCGAAAGTTAGTGCTAAACCTATTTACCTTTGAAACTAGTTTGTTTATTTTTAGAAYTATTTAGGTATACAAACAGTTTTGATCCAGATAATCGGTTTGGCAAACCTTTAAAATGGTTACCAGCTGGTGTGTGGTTTAAAAGTAATGTTCAACCTAAATCGTCAAATGAAAATAAAAACACGCTTACTGATTGTGTTAGTAAATTATTAGAAAGGTATGGTACAAAAGTAAATTATTTTAATATGAAAGTGCATACATTTTAAATAATTCACTTTTGAACATATTGTCAACAAATAATAACATAGTGAAGAGAACACACAATGTCGTTATCCGTATATCGACAACCGGCAAGGAAAATTCATAGGCAGATCGTATTTAAGAGCAAAAGATATTTTAACCAGAAACGAACCAGATAAACAATACTTTGAGGGTATTGATTATTCAACAACAGTCAGTAGATTAAAACATCACATCAGAGAAAAGAAATATGATATAAGGGAATTGCATGAAACGTTCAAATCGTTTGATAAGGTATAAAAGTTTTAATACAAATTTATAGTTATTGTTATCATTATTTAAATTTGGTTCAATTATACGAAATATGACAATAAAAGACGAGGGTAAATTTTTATGTTATTTTTTATAAACAAGAAAGACGACGACTACAGTGTAGGCTTAAACAATTAAAACATTAATAATATTTTTGTAAATTTTGAAATCATGGCTTACTCACTAACGCATATAACAAATACTACTCTTATACTATATGAACTGGATATAAATTAATATCTAGTATCTAGGAATATGGTGTTATGTTTTATATCTTTAGTCGTTAAAATAAATACATTGTACAAAGTTTGAGAGGACGTGTTGTACAACAAATTCGATATGCTTAGGAATTCACGGGGTGGCTACCACTGGAACAAGTTTATAAAATCTGTTACCAACACAAAATCAAGCCCGAGAAGAAATTGTTCGATCTTGCCTTAAATTCTATTAATGCCATTAATAACAACAATGTCAACTATAATTTATTTCTGGATTTACTAAATCCAAACGTTAAGTTCTCGACCGGTTTCAAGAAAAATAACCAAACAGATATCGACAGATTCATTCCAACGTATAAAAACGATTATGGTGATACATTGGCTTGTAGCATTAAATTAAATAAAAGTACTGTAAAATAATATGTACGTAGGAAAAATGTGTAAGTGACKTTATACCATTTTGGTTTCAGACCTCAACAATTATAGACCAGTTAAGCCAATGATCTTAGCCTATCTGGATTGTTTTGGATCCGAAACGGACGTAAAAACGTTACTGAATCCGACAATATATTCAAACTATGGATTGACTTACAGAGACTTTTACATAGTAATATTAGTAATAACTATAATAATGACATAATTATTGTGGTTTACAATACAGTGTTAGAATTAATCGTATTTTTCATGWACGAGTATAATACATAACACATTGTTTTATTAAATACAGGGACGTAGTAAAGACGTAATGAATAAACTGTTCCAAGACATGGGAGTGATCTTACCAAATGACATTTTCAATATTATCTGGGAAAATGCGTACCAATGTGATGGCGTCGACGACAAAGTTAGCGTAGAAGTTTTTAGGCAGGCTCTTCAAGAGCTGGCAGACAGAACGGTTGACCAACGTGACGACGAATAGATCAGTAGTTCAATAATATTTTATTAATTTATACTGCTTACCACATAAATTAAAACTTAAATTCTAATTCTAAACCTTTATTTTAAAACAATAAGCTTGCATATTATGATAAATGCGCAGAAGTGTGGAACAACACAATCGACGCTACCCACATTCATCGTGGTTGTAATTACCACCATACTCTGTTTATGAGTCTAAGCTATTAGGTCTAAAGTATAGTWAATCTTTGTATCGTTATTTGTATCGATTATACGATAACAGGATTATCGTGAATTCGAAAMCCATGCAAACAATACGTTCTGTTCTGTTATCTAGATAGTGTTTACAATAATGACCTTTGATCAGTCACAAAGGGCAATATAGGTACTATTTTTGACTTTTGTCATCAAAAGCCAATGTACAATTATAATTTATTTTATYACAAATAATGCTTATTTATCTTTTTTTCAATGTTTTATCGGTATTTTAGTTGTTTTCTCTCATGCTCTGTAGAAACTATACCAAGACGATGTATATTGTGTTGTCTCCGTCGTACAAATGCGTAGTAGGTATAGCAAATTTTACGCTCAGAAGATCACGTTTACTTCATTTAGTTTAAAATTTAGAGTAAATTGACCTCATATAAAAATTAAAGGTAACAATATTATCTAGGTATCTCATCGGTTTGTTGTTATTTTAAAGCAATTTATGAGTATTTTAAGACGTACAAACAATTTACAATTTTAAAATATTCATAACTAGCTTTTAAATTAAAATATAATAAAAAWCCCATGACATGCCCGAGATGATAATCTTACCTCTAATTTTTATAATAGGTCAATTTACTCAAAATTTTAAACTAACGGAGCTAAACGTGATCATCTGAGATTCTGAGCGTAAAATTTGCTATACTATGTATTTGTACGACGAAAACAATACAGCGRATGTGGCATCCTCTTAAGACTCTCAATCACACGTCAGTATCCAGGACTGGACCAACATCAATGATTTTAAAATTAAAAACTATTTTATCAAAAATCATTACCTACGTTTGTTCTGTAGATTTCAGAAAGAAGCGATGAATGTATTGATTTTATAATGATGTGTGTGTGTTTTGTGTTGTCATCACTTTTTGTATTGTTTTATAAATTCGGGTCAGTTTTAAAAGTTCTTAAAATAACTAAAATAAAATGTGAAGTTTTTTTTTAAAAACGTTCATAAACATTTGTTACCTATTATTTTTTTTTTTTTTTAGTTATCATTTAGATGGAAAACGTGACTATGCCTGGCAGTCAATTAATGTGTAAATTGTTGTAGGTACATTTTTTAAACGTTGGAAATGGGAGTAGATGAAATCTAAAAATGACTCAGGTACTATGAATACTATATGTTATATGAAACTGATTTTAAAATAATTCAAATAAGTAATAATAAAATATATTTTTTTTAATTATAATAAAACATGTTTGGCACGGTCATCACGATATTTACGCTATATCAAAGAAGTCACGAAATTTGTATAATTTCTTTGAAACTCTCAATGTTAAATCGATGAATACATAATTTAAAATACCTACGTATGTTTATTGCATTATAGGTAATGACTAATGATTATAATGAGTAAGAAGTTATCATATAAGTTATTGTATACAAATATATATTATATCATTATATCATTATTAATCATAAATAATAAAGTAATTGTCTAGTGAAATAACTTTACAACACAATAAGTATACTTAACTTAGTCATGTACAACTAATTATTGTTATTAAACTATTTCATTGCWCTCTGAAGTATTAAGATCTGTTTTTCTATAAAAAAATTCGAAAATATTACGTATAATATTGTATATAAATATAATTATACCCATTATTATATGATATTTTTGATATTCAAATGCAATGGCGTGCAGACAAGACACAAATGGGGCCTAGGCCCCACTTGAAAGTGGGATGGGTGAGGATTTTTTTTATTTAATAAATATTGTCTTTTTATATAACTATATAGAGTCACTTAATAAAACATATTTTATTTGTAAGTTGTAACTCTTAGTTTGAGGTGGTTGGTGGGTGTAAAAAAATTAGATTTGCCTCACATGAAAAAAGGGATCTGCGCGCCACTGTTCAAATGTACCTATTTTGTTATCTTAATTTTAAATAACAATTTTAATCTCAATGCACTTTTAATGCTCGATACACTTATAAGTTATAACCGTTTACCAAAATGGATCCTCAATGCTGTTAAGATTTCATTGTATTAGTTGTATCAACTTAATGATTTTATCACGTCATAATAGTCACTAGGAATAATATAACAGCATCGAAATCTTACTATTCTAACTACTACTATTAATATTTTACGAATTAATTACAATTTATAACATATCCCGGATATCTACGGAAAAACAATGTAATCWAAAATAAGAATCGAGCGTTGCCTAAAAGTCATGTGAAACGACGAAAKGTGTTTTGTATAAATTAAAATGAAAATTCATTTCTTCGATAATAACAGTAAAACAAAATGTTACAGGAACACAAACGTTACAAACGTTTTTAATTAATCTCATAACTCATGTCTCTTGTCATTTCAAAATATAATACTGATAAATATGATTCCATAAAAATTGCGAATGGTTCGTTTAATTATATTTGGGAGTTATCTATAGTCTATACGTTTTCTAGCTAATTTTAAAATATAGCAGTATGCTATATGGACAATGGACTATCAAACCAGAAATTCATAGTACTTTCGGTTAAAATCAAATTTAAAAACAGCTTTTCTCTTTGTGTGTAATTTAAAATTATATTCGGAAATTTTGTGCTTGTCCTTTCCATTATAATTCATAATTATAATTATGAATTTGCTCACTTTACCGTCCACATACGAATTCATCGTAAACAATTTAAGTCAGCATACATGCTCATCCTGAATATACTCAAGTTTTGACGCACCTTTATAAGATAAATATACTTTTTTTAAACACGTGTGCTCTTGAATAAGCAATACTTATTGAATGGCCAATATTTAATGATATTTGAATAGTTTTGAAATTTTTTTATTGAATAGTGTAATAGAAAGTGCTTTGATTTAAATGCGAAATCATAATTTTTTTTAGTCCTGTGCTCATCCACTAAAAAATCAATTAAAAAACTTTTATTTTACATTTTTTCAGAATTTTTAGGCAATTTTTTTAATATATATATATATACAATAACGTCTTTATATATTTAGAGAGTGATTAACGGTTGTGGTGAGTCCAAATTTTAAACCAGCAACAACTTATATAATATGGTAATTTGGTGTTACATCGAAATCGCGTTTATTTCGTAAAGTTCGTATTTTTGTTTCTCAAGAACTGTTAATAAGTTAATTGAAATACAATTTTCAAAGTAAATATTTTGTTAATTTTTAGAGAATTTTTGAATAGTGTTTAGGCATTTTAATTYGGATCCTAGTTGTTAGTGAATAATATTTTAACGTGGATATAATTTATAAACCATGATCAATCTACAGATTTTTTTGTCTACTCTTTTTTGGCTATATAGATAGTGTAATACTTTTTAACTTCCATTTAAGTATTGTAGCATCAATAATTTATTTAATTTAAAAAAAAAAATGGAAATTTCAGTAAATGAATATGTCTAAAGTAATTTTTCATTAATATATAATAATATGCTTATTATTAAGCCAATAACAATGTCTATATTAATAAGTAATACATTGGCGTTCGATAATAATGGATATGAGAATAAAAATGTTTATGTAAATGAATATAGGAAGAATAGCTAGCGATAAGAGAACCAGTATAATGAAAAACGCGTAAGAGCTGAGAATGGGAAAAAGGATCTCAATTACCTATAATTCATAATAAAAAAAAAAATGTAACAGATATTATACAAATGTAATAAAATGTGCAGAATGTGAAACATTATAATAACTTACAATAATGCCTTATTTTAATGTTGTCTATTAGTTATTATTAATTACCTATTAGTTTTAGTTTTAGTTAGTAAAAATGTTTTGGGATTTACGATAAGACRCGCGCCGCAAGAGTCTATGTGGCAGTAACATGTGGTTCCTGAATCGCGGTTTGACTATCCCTACAATATAAAGCATTAGTATTGTAAATAGCTGATTGACGTAATAGGTTTAACTTTATAATATAATTTAAATAAGACGTAATTAAAAAATCTGCTGAAAGTTTATTCTACGAATCAGTTTTTGAAATCGTTTAGTTTGCACTTAATTTATCTATGAACATATTTCGTAAACGAGTTGTTCTGAACATTTTTTAAATTWATTACGAGTAAGGTAAGCTGAAGTATTAATTATGAATTTATGATGTATTATACATAATATTATGAAATATYAATATAACATWAGATAGGTATACAAGTGGGTACCACTTCTTAATTTTAATTTTTGTTTTTACCGATGGTTTTGAAAACTACGGTGAATTTGATTTTTTTGTTAGCTCAAAGTAACTAGAATCAATGTTCTAYCAGAAAATATGCTGAAGTAGAGTTTCTAAGATTTTTTTATTGCTTCAAAAGTTGATAACAGACAGAAAAAAACAAAAACACACATCATTGCTGCACTCAGAATCTAAAATAAAACTTACTACATTACTTATTAGTAAGTTTATTACTATAACGTAGGTTAGTTTAATTTTCAGAAAACCAGTAGGTACACTGTGTCGTCACATGTCATCTAACTAATGCTTTGAACATCGAGCGAATAACATTTCATTAGTATTTACTTTTTAGTATAGTTAAGACGTTAACTGAAATTATTGATTATTTTTCGCAATACATTTATTACCATATACTTTTGTACAAACTACGTATATTTCCGTCTGACTGACTGATGTCAATTTGTGTAAATTAAACCAATTAGTGAGAAATAGTGAAAATATTATATCTTATTTTTGAAAATAGGTAAGAAAACTAAAGGGTGTTTCTTAAATTCAACAGGCATTCCACCAATTTTTGTTTTAATTAGTGGACGATACTGGTGGT